CATAAACTTCATCTTTTGACTTTAACAGATAAACCCAAGTTGCCCTAGTGTAATCATCCACAATAGTAAAAAACATACCTAAATCCTTCTACAGTTGTCACTCTATAGGGTCCCCAGACATCGAGATGAATTAACTCACCAAGTTTCGAAGAAGTATGTTGACTAATATGGAATGGTTCTCTTGTTTGTTTAGCTTTATGAAAAACATCACAAGGTGGAAGAACTTCATTACCAATTTTAAGTTTGTTTTTTAAGGAACCCAAGGCTTGATTAGAAGGATGACTAAGTCTATTGTGCCAAGTTAGTTTAGACACACAACAAATAGAAGAAGAGTTAACAGAACTACATATATTACCTGAAGGTACATTATTTATGTAATAGAGACCTCCAGACTCTCTACCACTCCCCACCATCACCTTTGACTGTAATCCCTGAATTTTACAACTATGCTCATTAAAACAACCTCATAATTACTGTCTTTGCAAACCTTATGAGCAGACAACAAATTAACATTGAAATCAAGAAACAACAAACACATCAAATAGCGTTAAAGAATCAGATAAATCCATATTACCAATTTTTTCAATTTTAGTTGAAGTACCATTAGGGTGACTGACTAGTAGATCTAACTTAGACACATCCACAGTGTCATGAAGTAGTGACTCAGAAGCAATTATATGTTGATTAGCTCCCGAGTCAACAATCCACTTTTGGAAATGAACAGAGGCATTAAAGGCTTAAAATAAGCAAGTACCTGTCGTATTAGCACTAGCAAATACTTACTCATTGACTTGCCTATCACCAATAAGTTGTAAAAATTTGATGTATTGATCCTTAGTAAGTTGATGAAGCTCAGAATCTCCAATAGAATCAGAGAAATTAGAAGTACTTGAACTTCTAGAAGAAGTAGTAGTGGAGTTGGCAGAAAAGTTTTTACCAAAATTATTCTGATTATTAGATTCATTTCTTGGTTTTAAATCCTTAGGATAACCAATTAACTTGTAACACTTTTCTATGGTGTGACCTTTAATACCATAGTTCTTACATTGAACAAATTGATTCTTATTCTTATTAGTGTTAGGTTTGTTATTAAACCTGCTATTAAAAGCAGTGGACTGAGATTTAGACACAGGCTGTGATGACTGAAGAGAAGTCAAAGAGCCATTTCTTTAAAGAGACTCTTCACTTGACACAATTGAGAAAGCAGTTTTCACATTAGGTAAGGGATCCATTAATAAAATGTGACTTTTGAATTGATTATATGGGTCATCAAGTCCAGACAAAAACTGCATAAGTTTCATGAGATTAGAATGATCTTTGAGTTTAATAGAAGCCTCACAGGTACACTCAGTTAAACTAGTAAGACCATCAAATTCTTTCCATAAAGAATCAAGGTTATTGAAGTAATCTGACAAAGAAATTTCATTTTGTTTAAGAGAATTAATCTATTGGTGAATGTTAAACACAACAGAACCATCAGACTTATTATAGGTTTCAAAAACAGTTTCCCAGATATCCTCAGCAACTTCAGAATAAGCTTGACTCAGATAAATGGAGTCAGAAATAGAGGACATAAGCCAAGAACAAACAACAACATTAACTCTATCCCATTTAGTCTTTTTTGACTCATCAACATCACTCTTTTTAAAAGTTCCATCAACAAAACCTAACTTGTTTCTGGCCTTAAGGGCCCTAGAAATAGAACTTCTCCATAACCTAAAGTTTCCATTACCAATTAACTTGGTCGTAACATTTGAAGTAACAACATTATCAGATGGGTGAATGTAGAGAGGATCATCAAAATTAATTTGATCATCCTTCCCATTTCCACCAGGTGGATCAGTAGGACCACTAGCCATAAAGAACAGATAAAGGACAACCAAGAAATATCAAGAAAGAAAACAAACCCCTACACTGATCTTATGTCCTTATGGTCACCACGTATGTTGGGGCTCAAGACAACCAGTAGAGAGGCAAAGAAAAACCAAACATATATAACAAAACAAAAAATAGATGGTGTACACAAGACAACCAGGATCTCCCTGAACAGAATAATAGCAAAGGAGAAAGGAACAAGAAGATCCTCACAAATCTTTTGACAACGAAGCAAGAAGGAATCGAATCACTTTGTCCGTTCCCTACTAGGGTTTATCAGTGATGAAATTTGACCCCTAGAGAGTTATTTCAGGCTAGGAGATTAATCGATGAAGTTTCAACCGATGATCACAGCAACCCAATCGGCGAAACTCACCACATCAGAAACTTGAATGATCACAAAACACCCTCGCGAAACCAATATCTAAAAAGCAAAACACAGATATTTGTTTCGATTTCACGGAGTAACAGAAGAAAACCCTAAATCGAAACGAATAATCAATAAATCACAGTTTATGAACCAAGAAAACTAAGAGTTCAGAAGAACCCTTAGATCGATCAACAACTATGACAATCGAACAAAAAAACTAAGGAAGAAAAAGGACATTCAGAAAATACCTCAACGATCGAGAGAAGAACAAGTCTCAATGAGCGTCGTAAGAACAAAATTGGAGCCTAAAGCTCTGATACCATCTAAAAAACGTAAACAACTCAAAAACTTCCTAACATAATCATTGCATTCACTATGAAACAGATGATTTACATCAACAGATTACACCTGAAACCTCACTACATATCACACTCGCACTCATATTACATATCAACTAGAAATTTGTACATCAAACACAATACATGAACAAACCCTAGATAGAAAACCCTAATCTACAGACGAGAGGGATGAGAGAGTTTGTGAAGGAAAAATGTTATCTAAATGACTCAAACACCCAACTACAACACTTACGTACTCCGGATAGAAAGATCCATGGATATGACTCGAAGTCCGAGTACAAACCCGACTTACTGCATAAAAGATACACAAACACACCCCCACAAATATACACTTATACATAATTTACCCAATAATCTATAAATTAATGTTTAAGTTTGATTATGAAAAATATTAACCTTTTAACTGAAAGTCACCATATAAAGGTTTTTAATAAAGATAAAAGTTTTGTTGAATATTTCATATGTTGTTGTTGGCTACCCTTATAACATCAATCAGAATGACTTTTTTTTTAAATTTATTAATGATCATATTACCTATATAATATATATTTTTTTCCCAAGCTAGCACATGGGGTTCTCTCGATGTGACCCATATAGAGCGCAGTTGTACATGAAGAAACAAAAATACGAATTTAAAAATACAAATACAAGGTACTTGTGATATTTTGAAGGTAAAATACATAATGTTGTCACCTGTCACCATATTTTTCATATTAAATCAACACATACAATGTACAATGAATAAAATATCATGATTTGCCATTTTACTCGAGATCATATCGTCGACTGAGAGCAACAATCACAGTTTAATTTGATTTAAATGATATCAAGGTCATCTCCAACGTTGCTATGTTGGACATAATCTTAAGTTCCATAACACTATCACATCTTATTTATCATTTCATATCATAAATATCTCAACATCTTTCTTTTATAAAATCTCCTTTATTTATAAACCTTTTAAAATTATTAATAGTTTATGGGGTTTTTGGCACTGTAGCACAACAAAGTTTGACGAGTTTACACATTTAGTCACTCAAGTATTTTTTGTGCCTAATAGACCATTAAAATTGAATTTTACATATCAATTATACCATTATATGACCTGATACAGAAGTAGTCGGTTACTTAAGTGACTAAATGTGTAAATTCCCCAAATTTTGTTGTGCTACAGTGTCAAAAACCTCATATGGGTTTTATAAGCCACGTCAGCATGTCACCCGTAAACCGAATACAATTTCCTCCTATACCCTTAATTAGTCGGTATTTCCTAACGTGAATAATAAATTGAACACAAAAATACTTGAGGGACTAAATGAGTAAATTCGTCAAACTTTTGTTGTGTTATAGTGCCAAACTAATTTATATTATTTATCTTTTTCGTTTAATCTATATATTGTATTTAAAATAAAAACAATAACAAAATATTTTTGTAAAACTAAAAATATAATAACTACAATCTCATTTATGTAAAACTAAAAACAACACTCCGTATTATGATAAAAGAAAGTTCATCAAAACATCTTCAATATCGCTCTCATTTTAAAGGCATCAATTAACTCTTTTCACCAATGGGCTTCTGGCCCAGCGGTATCCGGTATTGCCCTTTCTTCTTGAGGTTGAGGGTTCAAGTCCCGTCGTGGACATGGTGTTGTTTAGGAGTAGGTTAGATTTGCCGTTTCAAAAAAAAAAATTAACTCTCTTTAATGGTGTGAATTATAAAATTAATAATTCTCAAATTTCATAATGTGTTTTAAACAAATTAGAAAAAGAAAGGATAGAAGGTGAAAACATCACATAATAGGAGGGGAGTAAATTGAAAAAATATATAAAATGTTCATTTGTTTAGACTTTGGACCGCAAACAAAGCCCTTCATACCAGCATGGCAAAAATTAATCTTTCAATATGCTGCAAAATTTTGATGGATCGCTTCTTGTGTTTTATGGACATCAACCAAGAAAGCCATAGTGGATGCTCTAAGACTGTATCCTGCAAGAACCGAATAATATGGTGGATAAACAAAGCGACAATGATTATGTAGGCCATATAAATAATTAAATATATCAAGGTCTAAGGAAGATGAAACTATTACAACACTTACTATACACACAATAGCATGTATAAATGTTTTGACAAAATGTTTGGCAAAAAAGTTTTCTATAGTTAAAGCAAAAAAGAGTTTTATGAGTAAAAGAAAACACTAAATAATAAACTTCGCCCCACATGTAATCACACATAATATATGGATATTGTGCCTTCTACGATTCATTTTGATTGCCTTCATAGTAGATTAGATTCCTTAAATAATTCCATGGTAACATGGTGTATAAATTCATTCATAGCATTCATTTTTCTTCAAAAACACACACAAACACGCACACACACACACACATTCATGGGGGAAGAGTTTGATGAGTCGGAGGTGACTTTTGCAGATGTTAAAGCATTTAGCAAACAAGAAAATCACATTGGATGGCAACAAAACAAGTTTTTCACCAAAAATAAGAAGAAAAAGAAGAAACATTCGGTTCCTGTTAGTATTCCAGAAAATATATCCAGTTCTCGATATGTGGAATCTGATTTATTTGAGGATGATTATGAAGATGAAGTAATAGTGCCACCATATATACTATTAAGGCGAAGAGTCTTAAGAAGTATAGCATATTCATTTTGGAAAGGACATGGCAAGACTTCGAAAGGAAGAGAACTGAATCAAATAAGGAATCTAATCTACAGATTTACTGGGTATCTTGAAACTTAACAGCCATTGTTTTCTTTTCTCTTTTATGGTGAACTAGGATGTCGAGTTAACGAGCTTTACGAAAAAAATGATCTATTTATACGTATGCCATCTTTGTTTGTGATTAAATTTATGGATATAATATGGTATGTCACGAAACATTAAATAATATTGTTGGGTTGCATTTTATGCTATTTTTGTCACATTTTATGTATCATTTTGCACCTCTCTTTGTATATATTTGTTCCATAATCATGCATTGCATCATTGTTGGGATTATGCTCGAACTTTTGTTATGGGTTTATTTGTGTGTTAATGGGTTTAATGGCAGGTGTGAGATGCAAAAAAACAGGTCTTAGAAGTCAAGAATGTATCAAAGGGCTTCTAGCCCAGCGGTATCAGATGTTGTCCTCCTTTGTTAAGGTTGAGGGTTCAAGTTTCGTTTGAGACATAGGTGGATTTAGGAGTAGTTTAGGCTTATATTGTATTTGCCGTTCAAAAAAAATCAAGAATGTGAAGAGAGACAATAGACATAGGAACACGCGAAATCATAACAGTACACGGAAGAAAAAAAAAAGTGGAAAAAGTTCTAGAATTAAGGATATGACACGACCATGTTGATGGGTTTTGGAAGCTTAAAACGATCAATTTTTATAAACGGAAGTAATTTTAAAATAACTATTATTTTAAGATCATTTTAACAAAATTACCAAAATGATCCAATTACATGATATAGAAAGATTATAACAACTCATAGGATGTTAATAAGACAACATTTGGAGCCTTTGATCCCATTTGGAATTGGAGAGTTGATAAAGATAGCAAAGTCAAGAGGCTCGAACTTCTCTACAAATATCCACCATCAAGGGCAGAGCCGGCCCAAGCCCAGGGCGAGCAGGGCCACGGCCCAGGGCAGCAATTTCTAGTGGGCATCAATTTTTCAAAGCCTCTTATAGGTAGTATTGTATATTTGGGCCATATTAAGAAAGCTAGTCCAATAAAATTCATCCCCGTCTAAACTTCAAGGGGAGCCGATTCTCGGAGACCTAATTAGCGGCAACTACTATCAATTTCGTATGGTGACTCTTCGATCTAAACACACGCCTAATAATTGAAGATGAAGAACACGAGGCGACGAGGTGTCCGTTCTGGAGAATGGAGACGGACGATTACAATTTTAAATCAAGATTTAGTCATCCATGGCTGCATCGATCGCCTACTGTCTCATCTGCAGCTTCTCTTTCCGACTTGCCCTCTCTCTCGATCGCTTCTCCTATATGCTTCTTTCTTTCTTTCTTTCTAAATCTTGAATTACTACAGTAATAGACTAATAGTTTATCTATTGCTCTACATTTGTTGTGTAATTGTGTTAAAGACGTAAAGTAAAGAACTGAAGATTCAAAGGTGCAATACCGTGAGTCCGTGATTAAATGAATCTGTCCTCCTAAGGTCCTAATCCAGTAAGTTTTTTCTAGTATTTCAAATTTCTTGCAAGTTTCGAAAATATGATAGTGAGTACTGGTTAAAATTTTTGAAATTTCAGTTTTTTTATATTGCTTCCTGGAGAAGTGAAATTATCGATCAAGATTGCAGTGTTGTTGATCCTGGACTACACTAAGCTTCATTAATTTTCTAGGTAATTTTTTTTCTTGTATTTCTTGTACTGCTCTGATTTATGATCAAATTAAGTTGCAAATTTTGATTGTTTTTATATAATCTGAAATCTGATAAGTTGTGTCTATTGTTGAATGTGATAAGTTATGTTAATTTCTGAATTAAGTTTTGACAATTTCTGAAAATCTGATATAGTGATATGTACATTCTGATATATATGAATTCTGATTTTGATTTTTCTGAGATGTAAATTCAGAATTCTGAATAACTGGATGTATATAGTCTGATAAGTTTTTTTAATTCTGATTTTTGAAAATCTGATGTATTAATTTTCTATAAATATGATGTCTAAAAAACTTCTGAAAATCTAAAAGATACTATTTTTTTTGTTTAGGTTGTGGATACAGATTGTTAACTTCAGGTTGTGGATACGGATTGCTAACCTCAGGTTGTATCCTTCTTTGTTGTTACTACATCTTTTTGACTTTTAATTTTTTTGTGAAGTTTAAATATGTTTCCTAGAAAACAACCATCTGGTGCTCAAAATAGAAAACGGAAACAAAGAGAACAAGATCTTACTAATAAATTACAAGGACCTTCAAATAAGTATTTTGTTAGAAATGAAAATAATAATGAAAACTCTAATGATGTTAAAACTAATGATTTTGTTGATAATTCTAAAGGCCCAATTGAAACTTCTAATGAACCTATTGAAAATTTTAATGATCACGAAAATAATGATTTTGTTGATAAATCTAGTAATATTAATATTTTTGATCCAAGAGTATGGGATAAGTTAGATTTAAAGAATTGACAGATTTGCTTGTAGAAAAATGACTTATTGGGGAAATTGAAAATAACAAAAAATTTCCAAAAGATGCACTAGGTAGACATTTTTCTTGTGAATTTTATGTTCGTAAATTAAGGAACGGTGACTCTTATGATAGAAAGTGGTTGGTGTATTCAAAAGAACTTGATAAAGTGTTTTGCTTTTGTTGTAAGTTATTTAAAACAACTCGATCTAGAAGTAATTTGGCAACCGAAGGAATTAACGATTGGAAACATCTTAGTGAAAAATTAAATGAACATGAACATAGTTCTGAACACATGATTAATTTAAAAACTTGGACACAAACAGGACTTAGGTTAAGGAAAAATGAAACAATTGATAAAGAGTTACAAGAAAGAATAAAAAAAAGATACTCAATATTGGAAAGAAGTTTTGATAAGAATTATTGTTGTTGTAAAATGTTTAGCTGAATATAATTTGGCTTTTTGTGGAACTAATGAAAAAATATATGAAAAATCTAATGGTAACTTTTTAGGTGTACTTCAAATGATTGCTGAGTTTGATCCAGTAATGAAACACCATTTTCAACTTATTCAAGATAAAAAAAAAGTCGCTTTCATTACTTTAGCCATAAAATTCAAAATGAATTAATTGAAATGTTGGCATCCGAAGTAAAAAGTGCAATTATTAGAAAAATAAAAAAATCAAAATATTTTTCGGCAATTCTTGATTGCACTCCGGATGCAATTCGTAAAGAGTAAATGACTTTGATTATTAGATGTGTTGATGTTGCAAGTGTTCCAATAAACGTAGAAGAGTTTTTTTTAGAGTTTTTAATGGTAGAAGATACATCCGGTTTCGGAATTTTTAATGTTTTACAAAATGCTTTAAAATCTCTTGACTTGGATATTAATTGTATTCGAGGACAATGATATGATAATGGAGCAAATATGAAAGGCAAACATCAAGGTGTACAAAAAAGATTGTTTGATGTAAACTCAAGAGCTTTTTATATGTCTTGTGGATGTCATAGTTTAAATTTAGTTTTGTGTGATATGGAAAATTCTTGTCATAAAGCTAAAACTTTTTTTGGTACTTGTCAAACAATATATAATGTTTTTTCTAGCTCCACACACAGATGGAGTGTTATACTTGAGCATGTAGATGAGTTAACCCTCAAATCATTGTTTACTACTCGTTGGGAAAGTCACATTGAAAGTGTTAAAGCAATTAAAACTCAACTTTTTCAAATAAAAGAAGCATTAACAAAATTAGCTCAAGTGAGTGATGATGGTAAGGTTTGTAGAGATGCGGAATCATTAGTAGATGATGAATTTTCTAATTTTGAATTTATTTTAAGTTTAGTGATATGGCATGAAATTTTATTTAGAATTAATTTGGTAAGTAAAAAATTACAATCCAAAGATATGATTCTTGATGTTGCAATAAAAAACTTAGAGGGATTAGTTAATTATTTTGAAAAATATAGGGAAATGGGTTTGACTCTGCTATTAATGAGGCTAAAGACATAGCAGAAAATATTGGAGTTGAACTAAAATTTCCTATCAAACGTGTTTATAGTATAAAAAACAATTTGATGAAGTTCCAAATACCGAAAGAGAACAACAATCATCTCAAGAAAAATTTAGAACTGATTATTTTATTGTTATAGTAGATATGGTTCTAACTCAATTGAGAAGTAGATTTGAGCAAATGCAATATTTTGAATCTATTTTTGGATTTTTGTTTGATGGTTCAAATTTAAAATCTTTACTTGATGATGAATTAAAAAAATGTTGTAAGAAACTTGAAACTATTTTGACAAATGGTGAGGAACTTGATATTGATGGAAAAGATTTATTTATTGAGTTACAAGTTTTGCAGGAAATGTTGTCGTATGAAGCATACAAAGGTGAACTTCCTTGGAGAGCTATTCAAATTATGGAGTTTGAAAAGGAAATGGACATGTTTCCCAATGTGTTGGTGGCATATAAGATTTTTTTGACGGTACCGGTCACGGTTGCTTCCGCGGAAAGAAGTTTTTCGAAATTGAAATTATTGAAGTCATATCTTCGAAGTACCATGACTCAAGAAATATTAAATGGATTAGCAATTTTCAGTATTTAAAGTCAATTCCTACAAAGTATTGATTATGATAAAATAATTGATGTTTTGCTTCAAAAAATGCAAGGAGGCATCGTTTTAGATGAATTTTATGTATGCTTTTGTTTGTATAACCTTGTTTTGGTTTGACAATAAAATTTATTTCATTTTTGGTATTTTTTAAATAAATAAAGGCATTAATTTAGAATCTCGCCCCGGGCATTGAAAATCAATGGACCGGCCCTGATCAAGGGTAAGACATAATGAAATACTAGTTCCCTTCTTGTATTTGTAACTTCTTAAGCCTTTCATAAGCACTAAAGGAGAAGCACTTCCAAGCACCAACACTTGCAACTAGCTTCAAAGAGGAGCAAGAGAGGGAAAGTAGAGAGAGTCTACGGTGTCGAGAGAGAAACCAAAGGAAAATTCAAGCGACCAAATAACTAGTTATTCATCTCCTTTTATAGTAGCATGCAAGTATCATGAACCATACTCCTCATTAATGAAAGTATGG